CTGTAGAGTAGATAGGGCGCCTGGCGCCATTCAAGAGAGAGAGCTACATTGGGTTATGCTGTTGGTGTTGCCCGATTGGGCTTGGACATTGACTCACGATTCTTCTGTATTGTTCTCAAATGGATGGTTACTCAGTTCCATTGTGCTATCTGCTCTTGCTTTGACTACTTGCACTTCAGTGTGATTTTGCAATTTGGATTTCTGTGCTTCGTCCACATTCATGTTCCTTGCAATTTGGTATCGGAGCTGGTTCGATTCGCTGCTTACCTTGGTGCGCTGGCGTTATACAGACTTGGTGCGTTGACGATGCTTCTTAGCAGTTGGTTCTTGTGACGTCAGGCCGAAATTAGGCGGACGACCTGGGTAGAGAGGTGTGCGCCGGAAGGCTGTACGGCTTGGGATGTCGTGGTGACGGCGGAATGTATGATTGGTGATGAGAGCATGCTGATGTGGCATTTGGTTGAGGTGGCACTGCATTGCGTTGTGGGTGGTACCGAGGCTACGACCGGTCATCAAATGCACACTCAGCTCAATTGGTGAGAAATCTGTGGTTGGGGACAGCTATCTCCAGGTATGTTGTTCCCTTACCTTATCCACCCTCTCAATCTCTTCTTACCGCGAGGAAGTGAGTCCAACTTGAGAGTCCTCTCTTTTGGCGAGGTGTCGTGAGCGCTCTACCTTGAGAGACGACAATCTTCCCCGTGGCGCTTCTGGAAGGAGAAAGGGCGGTGCCTCTGAAGGGCCCTGGTCGAAGCACATGGGTCACGATCACCATGCCAACCCAATGGGATTAGTACACGCATGCAATGGCTGCTTTGTCCATGAGGGCACTTTTGCTGCGCTGATAGAGGGGTGTGCGGACTGAACAGGTTTATGCAGACGCTCCCAGACCGTCTATAAACATTTCTGGAAGGGGATCCGATCTGACAACTGGCTGTGATCGTCGTCCTGATTGCGACGTTAAATAATTCCTCAGCGACCTTGGGGGCAGTCCTTAAATAGGCCTCTTGATCAGCCAGATCAGTCGAACGTACGGCTCGTTGCACGCGAGGATAAAGAAAGGGCAAGCCTGGTCATAAGCATGCACCTGGGGCACAGGGGTGGGCCAACATTGCACACCTATGACACTGCTGCTCTTGATGCTCAGGATTGAGGGGAGGGTAGGTTCTAATTGGTGCTCAACTGTAAACACAACCATATCCACTGTTCATACATCTGCAACATAATCTAGTTTTATTGTTGATTAGTTGGTTGACAGACTGCTAACACCTCACAGACAATTTAGTTTAGGACTGTTGTATACTACCATAGCCAGTTCGATGCAAAACTACTGTAAGTGAACTAATCATGATATTACTAAAATATGTTTACGGTCTTTTGTGAATGTTGTAGGCTGCCACTTGATCGGATGAGTAGGGGACCTGCCGGACACATTTATTTTTAGAAAATTAGGTGTCGGTCAGACACATGCTGTGGTAGGACTCCAACAGGGAGTTATAGTGCAGATAGTGTTTGCCTAACTGATGAGTGGGTTAGACACCGATGAGGGTAGAGTTGACGATGCTAGGTTGACACGTTCGAGATCACTAAGGGTCCCGTGCGTGTTTCAGGCCCTACAACCGGGAGATGAGAGACGGCTTCGTGCCGAAGTAAGAGCCCGTGCTCTCGCAGCAGCCAGGGATACAACACTAGCTGCAAGTCAGGTGTTGGCAGCCGCAAACGCCGCAGCTAGGGAACAGGTTGCAGCAGCAGCCAGAGCAGCAGCAATGGCTACCGCAGCAGCATCCTCTGCTGCATCCTCGTCTGGGACCCAATTGGGGATGCCCCCTGGGTCCACAGGTACTTCCGGATCAGTAGGTTCTGGTCAGTCCACAAGTCAAATGGCGGGCTCGCAGTTCAGCCCGTTGACCCCACGCGGGAGGGAGCTTCAAGAGCTCCAGCAAGTCGAGAGGATTTGCGCACGGTTAGAGAGGGAACTGAAACAAGCAACCGATAGAGAAAAGGAGATCAAAAATAGAACAGCCAGGCTTGATACGTTAGAGGCAGACAAAGCTGCATTAGAGGGTTTGGATGAGTCAGCCATGACTGACCAGATGAAAGTGTTGAAGTCCAGCATACTGTCGCTGCATGCGCACGTGGACAACAGGTTGGACTTCATGCAGAACTCTTTGGACCAAATCTTGGACCTTTTGCAAAGGCCACGATTACGGCCAGCAGCACAGTCGCCGTTGCCGTTAACGACGATGTCAGGCCCCTTTCCGGTACAAGCTGGCACATAGCCAAGTGGTACGTCTGCAACAGCCGCACAGAACTGTTGCTTCTTCTTCTTCTGGTCCAGCGGCGATAGCTACACCATCACCGCAACAAACGGTTCCACCACAAGGACAACAACAAGGTCAATGGTACCCAAAGACCCCAATGAAATCGCCCCTTGCCTTCTCCGGTGAGAAGAAGGACGAGGAACTCAACACTTGATTGAGAACGGTTCCAGTGTGGGTAAGGGCAAAGAGGACTTTGCAGGAGGAGGAGGTGATTACTGCTGCATCTTACCTTGAGGGTAGGGCAGCCAAATGGCTGGATGGATTAGTAGCAAAGGCAGGGTTCGAACGACGCATGGCAGATTGGGGTAAGACCCTAACTTTAGAAGAGTTCTTAGACATGGTAGAAGCTCGCTGGCACAATCCGCAGTAGGCACAATTGCCACTGACGTGATGCTAAGACTAGTCCAAAGAAAGTACAAGTCAGTCAGAGAGCTAACGTCTACCGTAGAGAGCCTCATCGTCGTTTCCGGTATACGCTACGATGACCAGGTCTTATTGACCATGTTTTTGAGATGTCTGCCCGAGAATCTCATAAATTTGCTGGCCCGCGAGGCTCGCCTCGAGTATCATTCCTTTGAGACCTTCTCTAGAAAGGCCTTAGATTTGGAGGCTACTCTAGGAAGTGCTCAACCTACTCCAATAGACGGGAGGAAGAAGAAGAGTCCACAGGAGTGGAAAAAGAAGGGGAGCCGATTGATGATGGTTGAGTCTAATGGGACCCCAACCGAGATCGATGAACTTTCTGACCTGATGGACAGTCCAGAGTACGACGGCAAGGAAACCGCTGAGGGTAGCACCCTCGCCGCAGTAGTAAAGACTATGGCAGGTGGCCGAGGGAAGGGCCATCAAAAGAGTCAAGGGCAGGCCGCCTCCAATCAAGCCAAAGTAGCAGATTAGGTTAAGGCAGGTCTTGATCAGGAAGTGTGGCGAGACCGCCGAGTGCGCGGTGCTTGAATTAATAGTGGTGAATACGGGCACACCCAGTACAAGTGCAAGAACGCAAAGGTCACGCAGAAGATACCCCCTAAGGGTGGGGTACCTTCTTCCCAGGCTTCAAGCTCGGGAAACATGTGAGGCCGATGGAAGTTTTAGCTGCTTCTACTCATGGTGAAGTGGGTCAGATACCCTCCCCACTTTATGAGAAGGCCATAGCTAATGACTCCTTAGTCACCCTGCAGACTCATCTAGACCAAACTATGCTCTGTACGTTGGATGTGTCTGAAGCCTTAGAAGATTTGGAAAGTGAGTGGTCAAGCAAGGACCCTCGCGAATCTTGGGTGGCACTAAGTAGAGGTCCTAGAGTGGAACATTTTGTTGTGGAAGTTGCTGTAGAAGGCCGCAAATGTGGTGCCTTCGTAGACATCGGCTCCACGCGGAATTACATAAGTCGCGGCTGTGCCTTCGTAGACATCGGCTCCACGCGGAATTACATAAGTCGCGACTGATTGGAAAGGCTGCACCTAAAGGACCGGGTACAACACCTTAGTAGACCGGTAGGATCTACTTTGGCCAATAAGGAGCGCATGGTTGTCACATACTATGTCAAGGATGTAGTCTGTACATTCTCCTATGGAGGAAGGGAACTTAATCACAAGATTTCATTCCTGGTTAGCGACGACTTACCATTTGATATGCTGTTAGGAATGTACTACCTTGAGGTTGCCAAGCCCCAGTTTGACTGGGACAAGAAGGTGCTAAGGCATAAGTTGCAGGATGGAAGGACTGTGAGACTGGCTAAGTATAAGGCCAGTAGCTTAATAGAAACCTATGGCTGCTTGTGCACATCAACGTTCTATAATTATTATAAACAAAACCAAGAGGAGGGTATGTACCTAGTGTATGTCTCTGAGAAAGGGGAGGCCATTAAAACACCCCCAGAGATAGAACACGTCGTTGCTAAGTTCCCTGATCTGTTCACAGAGCCCACAGAAGTCGTAGAAAGGGAAATTATCCACGCCATAGAAATTATTCCAGGGAGTAAAACCCCAAAGGGAAGGATCTATAGGATGGCTCCGGCCAAGTTAGACGAACTTCGGCGACAACTGAAAGAGCTGACAAAAAAGGGATGGATACGGCCGAGTACTTCCCCCTTCGGATCTCCAGTGCTATTTGTACCGAAGAAGGGGGGTACATTGAGGATATGCATTGATTACAGAGGCCTCAATGCCATCATAGTGAAAAACGCAGAGCCTCTACCTCGCATAGACGACCTATTGGATAGGGTGCAGGGATGTAAGTACTATAGCAAGATAGACTTAAAGTCCGGCTACCACCAGATTGCTATAAGACCTGAGGATCAACACAAGACTGCTTTTCAGACCCGATACGGTCTGTATGAGTTTGTAGTGATGCCCTTTGGCCTTTGCAATGCCCCGGGTACGTTCCAACACGCCATGAATAGGATCTTCCATGACTACTTAGATAAGTTTGTCGTCGTGTACCTTCACGATATTCTTATCTTTAGTAAGTCTGTCGAGGAGCATGCACAGCACGTTGAGACTGTACTTTCACTCTTGCAACAGCACAAGTATAAGGTCAACCTAGATAAATGTGAGTTTGGACGCACTAGGATCTTGTACTTGGGTCATGAAGTATCTGCGGAAGGGATTAGGCCGGAAGATGCGAAGGTGGCTCGTATCAGGGATTGGCCACGACCTCAGACTGTTACTGAGGTCAGATCTTTCTTAGGGATGTGCGGCTACTATAGGAACTTTGTGAAGAACTATTCCACAATCGCCTCTCCTTTGACTGATCTAACTCGACTTGACACACCTTGGGACTGGAGTGATGAGTGCGAGGCTGCTTTCAAACGATTGAAGCATGCACTCATGAATCATGAGGTTCTCATGGTGCCCGATCCTCAGAAGCCTTTCATTGCGACCACTGACGCGAGCCAATATGGCATTGGCGCAATGCTGGCTCAGCAGGATGGGAAGAAGTTGAGACCGATTGAGTACATGAGCAAGAAAATGCCATCAAAGAAAATGGCGAAGTCCACCTACGAAAGGGAACTCTATGCTCTCTACAAGGCATTTGTCCATTGGAGGCACTTTCTGTTGGGACGGTTCTTCTATTTGAGAACTGACCATCAGACCCTTAAATGGATCAAGACTCAACCGGCTCTTTCTGATGCACTCAAGCGCTGGAATGAGGTCATAGATCAGTACGACTTCAAGCTAGAGTATCTGAAGGGAGAGTATAACAAGGTTGCAGATGCGCTGTCACGTAGGGCAGACTACCTAGGGGCGCTAGTTTCTGAGTTTGGTGTATCTGAGGAAGTAATTGAGTCACTGGTGGGAGCCTATCAGGAAGACCCTGTCACAATGGACATCATACGCGAACTTCAGGCAAAAGATAAGGCCACAGACGATGAGTTTGTGATGGTGGACGGGTTACTCTTTCTTGATAAGGCCGGGTGTAAAAGATTAGTGGTACCATCTAGAGAGAGTTTGCGCAGTTTATTTCTAGGGGAATGTCATGACGCAACTAGACACTTTGGCTACAAAAAGACAAGTGTCAATCTAGTACAACGATTTTGGTGGCCCAGAATGCTAGATGATGCAAAGAAGTATGTGGAGACCTGTCAGGTCTGTCAGCGGGACAAGCCACGAACTCAAGCACCGTTTGGGTTGCTGAAGCCCTTACCTATCCCCGCTGGTCCGGGGCAGAGTGTTTCCATGGATTTCATGGACACCTTGGTGACCAGTAGGAGTGGCAAGAGGCACATCTTTGTCATCATAGACCGATTCACCAAGTACGCTAGATTAACAGCCATGCCAGAGACTGCAAGGACTGAACACGTCATCAAGTTGTTTATGGACAACTGGGTGCGTGATTTTGGACTTCCAAAGTCAATCGTTAGTGACAGAGATGTCTGCTTCACAAGTGACCTGTGAAAGACTGCTGAGCAATTGGGCAGTCAACTTCAGATGACTTCCGGGAATCACCCCGAAGCCAATGGACAGGCCGAACAGATGAACAAAGTTGTACAACACCTGCTGAGGCATTACATCAAGCCCATCCAGGATGACTGGGATGAGAAATTGCCTCTCATCGCCAGCCTGTACAACAACGCTGTACACAGCAGTACCGGCGTCAGTCCTAACCAGCTGCACTTGGGATGGAAGCCTAGATCAGCTCTGGACTTCCTCCTACCTGAGAACCAACCCTCTGCAACTCCGGGCGCACTTGAAGATGGTGTGCAGTATGAGAAGTTACTACAGCAAGCTGTCGAGCACATCAGGAAATCTCAGCAAGCAATGATTGCTTCTGAGAACAAACATCGTCGACAGTCCTCATTTTAGGTAGGGGAACGTGTCTGGGTCAAGGCTAGTGAGCTAGGACAGGAATTCGGAATCTCTCGAAAACCAATGCCTCAGTATTTTGGTCCCTGGGAAGTCCTGGATATAATTGGAGATGAGATGGACGGTCCTACCTATGTTATCAGTATCCCTGGACACCTACGCACTCACCCTGTCTTTCATGCCTCAAAGCTTGCACCTTTCGCTGAGACAGATCAATTCCTTTCAAGGAGATCGATGCTGCCCCCTACCATGGATGGCCAAGTGGACATCAACGACATTGTGGATCACAGAGACCTGCCTGTTCCAAAGCCACTGGGTCGAGGAATATCGCATCAGATTCAGGCATCATACAGATCCAAAAGAAGATCGGTGGTTCACCAGAGAGGAACTGATTGACACAGCTCCTCAAGTGGTGGCAGAATACGAGAGGATGTCTCAGTGGACTTTCGAAGCTAAGGGGGATGGAATGTGAGGATTGAGCCCTCAAAGGGGCCTTGCCGTGATGTAAATGCACTGGGCTAAGGCCCCCAGCAAGCCTCGTGGCCGCCCTAAGTGAAGGCGGGCCAGCAAATCAACGAGAGCCCCTTTGTTCAAACATTTCACGAAGTGGGGGTCCATACAGTTGCCGCACACCGTTTGGTTGGAATGCACCGAGTACCGGATCTCTGCAAATGCAGAAAGACCAGGGCCCCGGAATTGGTTAGGCCCTGGACACGTAAACGTGAGGCCGACATTGCATGCTGGATATAGAGGCCGAAAATGCCGAAGGGAAACCGGTCCACTATCTGAATCTGGACGCAGGCTTTGATGAAAGAGGCGCAACTGTATTTTGTGGGCCCCAACCGCATTGGGCCTGGGTACAGGTACTGGGGCCCAGGATCAGGCTCAAGGGAGGCCGCCCACACGCAACACTGGCATATAGGCAGGGAGGGCGAGTGGGCAAGGATCTTGGCCAATGCAGGCATTGCGGGCACGCTGCTGCATTGTAGCGCTAGCACTTGCGCTGCGTAGTGGCTGAGAGAGGCAGGCTAGCGCTAAGCGGTAGAGCGCAGCCTGAGCGCAGGGCGCTGGTGGCCATAGTCGGGCTGCCTGTGGGCGCAGAGGGAGGTGAGGGCGAAGGTGGTTCTTCGGGAAGTGAAGGGCGCTGTGTGGGATAACAAGGGAGAGTGAGGGTGAAGAGAGAGACGTACCTGGTGGAGAGGAGGTCGGCATTGGAGTTGACGTCATCACTCGCTGGTCGTCAAGTTGTCTGGTTGCTTCCATGCTGTAGTTGTAGTGTTAGGCTGTAGAGTAGATAGGGCGCCTGGCGCCATTCAAGAGAGAGAGCTACATTGGGTTATGCTGTTGGTGTTGCCCGATTGGGCTTGGACATTGACTCGCGATTCTTCTGTATCGTTCTCAATTGGATGGTTACTCGGTTCCATTGTGCTATCTGCTCTTGCTTTGACTACTTGGACTTCAGTGTGATTTTGCAATTTGGATTTCTGTGCTTCGTCCACATTCATGTTCCTTGCACAACCTAAACAACAATTGAATATCTATGGCATAGCCTGTTATTCATTCCGCCGATTAGGCGAGTATAAGGCGAATGCCACTGTGCATAAGGTTTTTAAAGGAAGTGCACCTGTTGGAAAGACTCTGGCTGTATTTGCTTGCAGTCAGATGCATCTCAGAAAATCCCACGGTGCATAAAATATATGCCCTAAGAGGAATTTGAATTTCCTATTATACCAACGGGCCTAGCGCAGTTGGAACACCCATTAACTGTTGAAATGCAGACCCAAGTTGAAATCCAGATGCAATAGGAGGGGCGGAATCAGGTTGGCGCCTTCAATAGGCCTCCAGGGCAGGGAGGATTTACCCCCATTGTTGTTCCCGCCTGCACTGTTGTTGCGACCTTCAAGAGCAGTGCAGCCCCTCGCGTCATCACCCTTCGAAGTGATACGTGGCGAGGAGTAGGAGTGTGGCCATGTTGCATACTGTAACGGTGCAGACCAGAACAAGAACCGACCTCTCAATACAAAGTATAAGATAGCACAGCGGAAGACTTAGATACCAATGATCCGAACAATCAATATTGCAATGCAGCCCTGAACATACATCATCATCATCGTTACAGGGTGTGAATGGGGTCTGGCGCTTCACACAGGAAGACAGCGCCAGCCCCTACCATACACAGACGAAGGAGATGGGGGTTAGACGAAGAAGAGGGGCAGATGGGAATGTCGTCAGCACCAAGTGTTCAGCACAGGCCCAAATAGTCCCTCGTCGAAATGTCTGAATCCCAAATGTCGAGTCTGGATCCAATGTCGTCAAGTCTCAAGTCACAACTCTCTCTCTGTAGTAGTCCACTGATACTGAGAAGTCAGGTGGTGAGAGGGGAAGAAGAGATGGTGGACTTAGAAGAAGAGGAAGAAGAACTCTCTCTCTCTCTCTCAGCCCGGTACTAACCTGTGAAGTTGGCGCCTTGATGCAGGTACCTCGAAGATGGAGCTGGAGCTATGGCGCCACAGGTAAGTCTCGCTGGCCTCCGCCAGCCATCTCTCCCAACTCTACGATCTACCACCTACTAGCGCCCAGCGCTGAAGACTACAGCTATGGCTATGGGCGCCCAGCGCCGAAGACTACTACTAGCGCTAATACTACTGCCTAGCGCTGAAGACTACTGCAGCGCTCCTCCTGAGTGCTGCGGCCGAATCCTGAAGACTACTGCAGCGCTCCTGAGTCCTGCGGCCGAATCCTGAAGACTACTCGTGCCTCTGACAACTACCTACCCGTGAAGTGCATGGGACTTCCTATGTACTACCGGGTGCCTCCCGACTGCAGGTGAGGCAGTCCAGGAGGCTGCTCTTGCCAATGCCGAAGGGAGGCAGGGGCTGCAGCTGCAGCTCCTGCTCGAGCTGTCGTGGGGAACAGGCTAAAGATAGCCTGTTCCGAAAACCCTGTTTTTGTGCCTGAGTCCTAGGGTCGGTCGAAACGACGAGGGCCTGAAAATGGCCCTCCGTTTCAGGCTGAAAAGCCTCTGGGCCTGAAAGGCCCAGAAATAGGCTGAAAACGGAATAGGGCCTGCAGGCCCTCGTTTTTCAGTTTCAGGCTGAAACGACCGGGGCCTGTAAGCCCTATTTTCTAGGCTTTTAGGCTGAAAGTGCGGGACGGGCCCTGCAGGGCCCGTGTGGCTACGCAGTATGCCACAGGCCACGAGGTGAGAGAAGGACAAGGGGTGCAGAGGAGGTAGTAGCAAGAGGGAGGATTGTGGCCACAGCGGTGAGAGGAGGATGAGGGCCGGGGAGGCGGAAGAGGAGGAAGGGGTGTCGCTATGGCGCCTGTGGGAGTAGGAGGATGAGGGGCGACAGGGAAGAAGAGGAAACATGGATGAGGTGGAGGCGGAGGAGATATGACGAAAGTTGCAGAGCAGGAGGAGGAGGGACAAGTACAATTCGTCTGATTTCTAGTGCATTTTCAACTTTTTGTCTTTTTTTGTACATCCCCCCCCCCTCCCCGATCCAAACATTTCAGGGGTCCCTCGAACGCATCTGGTATGGTCTGGATGTCTGGCGCCTGTCTGGTTTTCCAAACGTTTGGATTGATCCCGACATATGGTTTTTGGTCTGGATCGGTGTGGTGTCTGGGGGTGCGGTTACCATGCTCTAAACCATTGCCCTGAAACAAACAAAAAAAGAATGAATCTCCTATTGTGCAAGGAAAATGAGCAATAGCAAGATGACAGACTCCAGATAGTACAATCACATTGAAAGCAAGAAAGTCCCACAGTGTCCATAGAGCAGCATTGCACCAATATTACACCAATGGAGAAGCAAAACACTGAAACTGAATGTCAATGAGAGCTTACTCTCGTCCTGTTACATACTTCAATGAGTATGGGCAGAACCAAAGATCAACCAATGTAGGATGAGCATATATGCAGCGGAAGTCTGATAAACGGACTGACTCACATAGACTGACTCACATCGATATCACTCCACACACATACAATCGTGAGATGGTGGGGTCTGAGCCATACATAGATGATGCTCAGCCCCGTACACACATACACAGATGAAGGTGGGAGGAGAGACGAAGGAGGTGGGAGATGTAGGTAGCACCAGATGTCACCGAGATAGAAACCAGTAGGTCACCGATATGGTAATCCAAAATGTCATCGAACAAGATCAAAATGTCGGGGACAATAAGTCACCAATGTCGGAGATACAGAGTCCTAATGTAGCCGGTGTCCAATCTGTGATGCAGCCGAGTATCATCCCCAACAATCTCCAAGTCTCAAACCCGGTAAGTACCACAGCCTCTTACTACCGAAGTCCAACACTGATCTCTGTCCCACTAGTATCAAGTATCCAATCTGAAGAAGAAGAAGAAGAAGTCTGAAGAAGAAGAAGAAGAAGTCTGAAGAAGGAGAAGAAGAAGTCTAAAGAAGAGGAAGAAGAGAGTCGAGGAGGAGAGGGAGAGAGAGGGGACTGACGACGGGAGGGAGGAGAGAACCTCCGGCTCCCGATACCTCAGGCGGCTATGGCCGCCGATCTTGCTCAGTCGCCGCTGCTGCTGCTCCGCTCGCTGCCGCTGCCGTGATGCCGCTGCTGCGCTGCTCCTCGCGTCTTGCGCTAAACTTAGCGCTAGCGCTCTGGCGCTAGACCTTAACGCACCGCGTAGACTGCCGGTGGTTCGATAGCCTGAATGA